TAAACAAATATAAAACATCATTAAAATGTTTTCTATTAATAAAATAAAAGCTAAAGGCTGCTAATGATTATGTTTATCTTTAATTAAATGCTTGGATAACTTCTAAAGGAAAATAAATTATTTAAATTCGATCAAAAAAATTAAAAGTCAACAGTAAAGAAATTAACTTTGTACTTATTCACCGTTTGGAATTGATGATTATTTAATTATTGAGCCAATTAAGCAGAAGGAACCGAAAATAAATAAATAAATAAAATAACATTTTTAAATTTCCTAATATATTGATGGGTTATTTTTAGTTTTTTTGGGTATGATAATGTAAAAATTATTATTATTATTATTATGGAACGATATTATAAATGAATTGGTTTGCATTATTATTATTATTATTATTATTTTGTTATAAATTTTTTAAAAATTTGTACAATAAAATAAAGAGAACTAATGCTATTAAGTAAAGGAGTTAGTTTTGGAAACGATTCTGGTTCCACTTTATTTTTAAAAAAGTTATATTTTTACTTAATATAGAAACACGTTGTAAATGATAAAAGAGAAGAAAAGAGAGTAGTAGATTAATAAACTAACTAATAGTTGGAATTTTATTATTCCATTTAAAAAGATCATATCTCATAATTATTTATGACTGTTTATATTTTTAGCATGATTACTTGATAAAATATAGAAAAAAATAGGATAGATAACTAATATTACTAGAAAGATTCTTTTTTAGATAATAAGTACTTTGACTGGTATTCCAGTTTTGTCTTGAAAAAGAGATTGGTATTCCTGTCTCTTTTTCCATTGCTTCTACCTAAACTTCTTGCTTTGATGCTTCTTTAAAGCTTTCTGGTTCTAAAATTGTGATCAAATGACTAATTTTAAATTAACCGTAAAAGTTCTATGTTAAAAAATAATTAGGTATAAATGAATATTTAAGAAAAAATTTAAACCTAATGTAAATTTTAGTAAGTTTAAACCTAAATCGGTAGCAAAAAATTGTAAACAAAACATTCATACTTTTTTGAAATGTTTTTGAAATTTAATGTTATATCCATTAAATTAATAACATAATTGTTTAAAAATGAATGTCAAAACAATTTTTTCAAATGGGAATTAAGATGAAAAAATATATGTAAAGCAACTCCAGGGATTTATAGAGCTTTGTCAAGAAATTGAAGTGTGCAATCTCATTACATCCTTATGAGACTTAAAACAAGCTCTTCATCATAATTACAAATTCACTATAATTTAAAATAATTTTAAAAAGTACGATAAAAAAACAAGTATAAGTCTTTTGAAAATTCATTTTTTTTATGAATGATTTGTCAATTTTTGACCAAATACATATCTTATAGGTATTATAAAAAAAATATGTTTGAAATTTGTTTTAACATAGAAAGATTTGATGAGATGGGTATGAAAGTTACAATTATGGTGAATTTTCTTTAATCAGTCTTAGTATATCAAGAATATTTTTAAAAAATATAATTATGTTGGTTATAATAATGTAGTAAGCATGTGAAGGATTGTAGTTAAATTGACATTGTACATATACAATAGGTATACTAACTTTATATAGAATTAAGCATGTTATTGAGAGATAATTAAATATTTAATTGAAACTAAAAAGCTTAAGTTCTATTAGAAAATTTAAAAATACTTACTGAAATGTTCATAGAAAAAAATAATTCTTTTGTTTATTATTTTATGCACTAGTTAGATAATAATAATATTTTAAACATATTTTTCTATAAACATAAATACTAGAGGGTAAAGTATATAAACTATTACAAAAATTGACCTTTCTTTTAAGAATTTGGTAATATGATATTTCAAGTACATCTAAATAATGATACACAATAATTTAGTTTTCAAAAAAGTTATAGTACTAAGTATTTACTATAATTGATAAAACAAGTTTAGCTAATTGAATTTTTAGTTGCTTATTGATTATTTAATATTTTTAATTAAAAATTTATGTATCTTATTAATTATATAGTATATATACCTTAATAATAATATAATTTATTAACGATAATATAAAAAAACATACGAACGAAAATAATGAAATATATACAATCAATTATTAAAATTTATACATTTAAAAATAAAAATATACATCATTCCGTGGATGAATATTTAAATCGATATATATATATATAGAGTGTTAATGAAATTTCATTGTAAGTGTGTTTGGTGTTTGAGGAGTGTTTGACCCTACCTTAATTATGAATATCATAGTTGGAAGTTAATTAGAAAGAATAAAGAAGACAAAAAGAAAATGTAGAAAAGTAGTTGGAATGGATTTTTGTACTTACAAAGTCAATATTGTTGATGGTTGTAAATCAATTTCAACTATACATGTAACATGCAACTTATTCCAACTTGTATATTGGAATGTGACAAAAGCATCGTCTTTCTAATTCCATTATGTTTCTTTAATATATATATATATATATTCTTTTAAAGTTAATATATGCATTTGAAGGCCTAGCTCTTGAAAATCTTAGTATAGCAATATTCTTTCTTAATTAATTTATACTGATAATTAATATTGATAGCAGTGGAACTCAAGTTATAGAAAAAATATTTACAAAATTAGTATTATGCTTGAAATAAATTTAGAATTTGTATATAATTTATTTATAAATAAATATTTTTAAATATAAAATAAATTAAATTTATGTAAAACTCTACATAAAATTAGAATAATACATTCTAAACTCTATCTATCTGTCTTGATACAATTTAGATCAAATTATTCTAATCTCATATTTAATTTTAATAAAAATTTAATTATTTTTCGTAATAGAATGTATATTTCTCATAATTAAAAATGACTTTGAAAATAAATTCTTAATAACTGTGAGAATTTGTTATAAAGATAGGCTTGATTAATTATCATGTTCATCATTTTTTAAAAAAATATAAATTTTAATGTAATAGCATAGTGGATTAATTTATTGTTGTCGTTTAATTGCAATCTAATTGGTCATCGTAATGATGCTTAACCATACCCCTTATCTATCTTTTGGATTTTAAGTGGAGATTGTGAATGCATGCACTTAAATGGCATCAGAATATATTAAGAATGAAGAGTCAAATTCTAACCAAACTACTGTAATCCTGAATCCAAACCTTAAGGATTTTGCCATAACAAATTTGGATCTTATAAATGTTAACAATCTATATTATCTTGATAAATCACTTAATTATATCACAGTTCTTGTTTCAGAATTGCTTAATGACAACAACTATTATATATGAGCAATTTTCATGAAACGGACATTGAGTATATAGAACAAAATAGAGTTTATAAATAGAATCCAAACGCAATCTACGAATCCAGCGAATTCATTAAGAACAAACTGGAAATGGTGTAATGATATGACGATTATTTGCATATAAAATGCACTTTCACCTGACATTAAGACCGGCACATTTTATATTCAAATGACAAATCAACTATGGCATGAACTAGAACAAAGACATGTTGAACAAAATGCAACTAGGGTCTATCAAATTAAGTAGTTTATATATGCACTCATGCAAAATCAAGAGCTAGTAAGGGCTTGCTTTTCAAAGGTCAAATTTCTAATTGATGAACTCATAAATTATGTACCCATTATTGGGTACTAGGAGAGGGATCACACAATGAGGTTCTTTATGGGACTTAATGAGTCATATAGCAACTTGACATCCCAAATCTTGGAAATGAGGCCTTTTCTTAGTTTGAATGAGATATTTTCTATCATCCAACAAAAGGAGAAAAGGAGATAAAATTCTTTGAAATCTGTTACTAACCAGCCCATGGCTTTCAATATAAAAGAGGCCAACAAACCACAAAAAAAAGTCAGCGGGAACAAGGAGAAGTATTATTGTACTTATTGGATAAAGGCTGGACACTCT